GTCCGCAGACATACCGCTGTGCCACCATTGAGTCAACAAGGAGCCTTGTTTAAAAAATAGGATTTTCAAATAGATGATTAACACCTAATTAAAAGGTTAGTTAAGTGATTAATATAACTGATATGTTTGCATTTGAGGTTTCAGTGAGCAAAACTGAAGGATGATTTATTGATGTACAATACTTAAAGTTTAATATTTGTGTTTAACCTTTATTGTGAAGTACAAGTATGTATAAATTTTCAACCATTTTATAAATATATATATAAAGCAATCAGATTTGTAGACGTAAAAAATCTTATTCCAACACGTAGTGAAAAAAAAAAAAGTCAGAAAGACCCTCATAAAATTGGGGCGGTAATAAAATAGTTTTACTTTAAATATTCTAGAAACTATTTCTGTTCGTAATGCAATTTGTGAGAATTATCTATTTAAAGAATTATACACTATGTCTGGAGTTCATTCCGCTGTTATGAATGATAGTCCAGAGTTCTGCTGATTGTATTGCTTATGCCTATGTATCAGATTCATTTTTAAGATAATTTATTTCATAAACTTCTGAATTTCTCTTACCTATCTTTTATTGATTTGTAACAAATTCGAATGACTACGTTTTTCAATATAACTGGCGCGTGCTCTAACAACTTACTGTATTTCTGCGTAAGAGTTATACGGTAACGGTAACAGCAATTCCATAGAACGATTGCCGCAGCAAGGATGCCAAAAAGTCCTAGAGCTCCTAAAAAGAAACAAGTTTCTATTAAGTTCTCGAACATTCAGCTATTCGTACATATAATGATTTAAGCTTCGTTTCTTTTCCATACATTTTGTTTATACTTTTTAAATATTTTAAGGGGAAAAAATTCTCAAATAGAGATAGATAAAAAACACAACGTTTCAAAATAATATCAAACTATGCATTTATAGGAGATGTTTAGAATATATTTTATCATATATGTCTTGTGAATTAAAATGTAAACATCTTAATTGTCTGATAGCTCCTCATCCTCTCACCAATAAACTCAAATATGAATCACTATAATTAATAACAGGATTTTATTTAACAATAAAAATATAGTATTAATAACTAGTTGAATTTTGAATATTGACCAGACAATACACATTTCTCTGATATATACATGTCACTCTGGATATGAGTAATAACCACATATTGCTTGCAAGTCTTAAGAAACTGGATAAGATGCTAGTTTTAGGTTTCGCAAAAATGTACAACTTTGCATAGAAATAATTACCCACAATATATATTCTGTGAAACATCTAATCACATCTATTCTAACGTAATGTTTAAAACTGAAAGAGGGCGTTAAACCTATGTGTTATTGTCTAGATCTGTTTCACTAATATTCTTTACGTTATCTAACTTCATCTCTTGAATAGCATTTAGCTGCAGAATTCTGACTTTTTTTTTTTACGATTATCTTTCATCAACTTAAAAATAAGAAATTTGTTGGTGTTGGAACCGCGGAGACACAATGACTAATTTGACTTTTCAAAGAAAATTAGGCTTAAATACAAAACTACAGCACCTTTTACTTTACTGATAAATCATTATTTTTATACAAAAATTAGGCTTAGATACATTGTTTGGTTGTAATTAAGCACAAAACTATACAATGGGCTATCTGTGCTCTGCCCACCATGGGTCTCGAAACCCGGTTTCTAGCGTGTAAGTCCGCAGACAAACTTCTGTGCCACTGGGAGGGGGGTATGATACAAAACTACAGCATCGTTTACTTTACTGATAAATCATTAGAGGATTGCATTAAAAATATACGTGAACAAAAGTTATAAGCTATTAATACTGTGCATGCGTGGCATAGTAAAAAAAGTTACCAAAAACATTTCTACTGATTTTTTTTAGTTTTGTATTTATGTCGGAACTACTAAGGCTACCTGCCACCGTTTTTTTATTTTAAACTACTGATTTTTTTAAGGTAGTCAGTCAGCAGTACCCTACCACCTACCATCTAATCTATGGGATTGACTGTCATTCTTATAACATACCTACGCTTAAAGTGTGTGTGTGTGTGTGTGTGGTAGGGGGATATTTTGTAGTAACACTCAAAGAAAAGACTTTACCGCCTTACTCGTGTTTTCATGTTTATAACGTTCTTTTAGTTCCTGATACGATAAAAATATGTTAGACTGATAAAAAACAAACAAAAAACAGACATATATACAAATGTTAACTATATATCCCTTCTAATAACAATTACTGGTACATTTATATTTTTCACTTTATTTCTATTTTCTGCCTGGCATGGCCGGGTAGTTAGGGCGCTCAAGTTGCAACCTGCGAGTCGCGGGTTCGAATACCCGTAACCAAACATGCTTACTTTTTCAGCTATGGGGACGTTAATAAGTGACGGTAAATCTCACTATTCGTTGGTAAGTGAATAGCCCAAGAGCTGGCGGTGAGTGGTATTGAATAGCTGCCTTTCCTCTAGTCTATCACTGCTAAGTTAGGGACAGTTATAGCAGATAGCCCTCGAGTAGATTTGTGCGAAATTCAAAATATACCAAATCAAAGAAATTCTGTTTATTAAATGAGGCAAGAGATGGTCATAGTAATAAGACTCATGTACGGGATTTGAGTGTGAGTTATCTTTTAAATGTTCATTAAATTTAAATTAACCGGGTCAATAATTAATTATACTTGTCATAAGACATCAATATTAGGTCTATTATATACTTGTAACACATTAACACTACTACTAATATATCAACCACACTACGTTCACCATATCCTAAGGCACTAGATAAAGAATGTAGTGTTCAAAATACAATAGGCTTAATATTAACGTGTTATGACAAGTATAATTAATTATAATCATACTTCACCAACTTTAAAAAGGCGCTCACGCCATAACAACGTTAATGTTTTGATTTATCATGGGGTATGAAATTTATTCTGCATCACAAACATCATTGATTATTTAAAGAAACAACAACTATTAAAATAATTATTTTTACCTTAAAAAAATGTTTATCACAAATTGAGAAAATATCTGGACACTTGCTTTCCTACCTGCGGTGGCTCCGACAAATACAATGAAATTCTTGTCAAAATGCTTGTTTTGAGCAACCTGTGGCGTCTCTGTCCTGTTCTCTCTCGACTGATCCACGTAAGCTAACATTGTAATACTCTGTTGAAGAACTAGCTGGTGAAAACCAGTAATATTCCAACCTGTTAAATGGCAAAACAAATTAGCGCTAGAATTAGTATAGGAAGATTATAGACATCCAATACTTCTTAATGTTTTTATACTGATCTCTTCCGTCTAGAGAAAAATTAGGAGCGATATTTGGATTATATACTACCTAAGTTCCAAGGAAACACTCCTAATGGAAAATATTTTTAAAAAACTAGCCTTAACATAACATCAGTGTAAATTTCCATCATAGGTTCACCATCATGTAGAATATACACATAGTTGAAGACACTACTTCATCAACAGGTAGAATACACTAAGTGTAAATTTCAATCACAAGTTCACCACCATATATATATACACATAGTTTCACTTACTTTTTCACCACCATGCAAAATATACACACAGTTGCAATCACTAGTTGATCACAATATAAAATATACACATAGTTTGAATCAAACTTCATCACCATATAGAATATACACATAGTTACAATCAAAATTTCACCACCATTTAGAATATACACATAGTTACAATCACAATTTCAACCACCATATACAATATACATATAGTTTCCATCACTACATCACCACCATATAGAATATATATATGGTTTCCACCACTAGTTCCCCACGATACAAAATATACACATAGTTTCCACCACTAGTCCACTACCATGTAGAATATACACATAGATTCCACCACTAGTCCACTACCATGTAGACTATATACATCGTTTCCACCACTAGTCCACTACCATGTAGAATATACACATAGATTCCACCATTAGTTCACCACCATACAAAATATACACATAGTTTCCACCACTAGTCCACTACCATGTAGAATATATACATAGTTTCCACCACTAGTCCACTACCATGTAGAATATACACATAGATTCCATCATTAGTTCACCACCATACAAAATATACACATAGTTTCCACCACTAGTCCACTACCATGTAGAATATATATACATAGTTTCCACCACTAGTCCACTACCATGTAGAATATACACATAGTTTCCATCATCAGTTCACCACCATATAGAGTATACCCACAGTCTCAGGACATGCCTGCCTTTTCCTAGTAAATTATTGTACATCGTATACTCCACAAACAAGATTATGTCATCAGAATGAAAGAAATTTAACTTGACAAGAGGTATATTTATTTATTGATTAAAATACAACTGGACAACGCACTTGAAAACCTCACTAAATTACATTCTTGTGTTAGGCTTACCTGAGGGCGAGAGATCGGAGTCAGGTGCAATCATCACGCGTGATGAATTTAGAGTACCAACTTAACTCTTTCACAGAAAGTCCGAAGTCAACGGGATATATCGTGGTGCTGTATGGTTTTTAAATAAGACTGATACAGTATATTTACAAAGCAGCAGTATGTCTGAAATGCGTGGAAAATATAGTCAACATTAACTGGATTCCGCCTAGAAGCCTCGTCGATACGGTCGCAGCAGTGAGCAGACTCAATTTCCTTTCGTGTGGTGAGCTGAATGTGAATGCCAACGGCACCAGCTGACATCACATAAGAGGGTAGATACGGGTGGCAATCAATGCGAGAATATCTCGAGAACAGAGCAAAGTAAGTCTCCCAAGAGAATTTATAACTTGTGCAGGGACTGTCAGAGAAGGAATTCAACTTTTATTGAAAGTTCTTCGCGGTTAATCAATGCTAACATACAGAGAAAGCTTTGTTTTTGTACGAGATAATTATTAATACACTCTAATCGTATTAGGAAGTACTTGAAATTGAAACATGCCTTGCTGGTCATCGTGCTTTGAAATATACCTGCAAGAGCATAGCTCTGTGTGAAAAAATTATATTGTACACTCCAAAGTGTTATCAGTGATACGTGTACCCTACTATACTAGACACTCATCGGTGTAAACACTGATAAAATCACTTTTTTTCTTTTCTGTCTTCTATAATTTACCCAGGTTCATCTTTGTTTTCTACTTCCTTGGACTATATAATAGAGATAAAATATATTATTCCATATAGATATGTTAAAATGCTACTTTTTTCTTAATGACAATGACTGGTAATAAAAATGTCTTGCAAAGCAGAGTGCAAAAATCGTTTGCAAACTAAAAAAAAAAAAACACACACTATAACGTAATATAACGAAATGTAGTCACACCTTCAACCTTTTCAAAATATGAAATCCGTATAGAGATTTCGTGAACAGTTTCTTATCACCGTTTTAAAGCAACATTTAAATCAATGGGCCCAGATACGGTACTTTCAAGTGAAAATGATTTCCTCAAAGAATATTGGGAAGGTCTGGTATATAACAGGAGTACTAGCAGGATATATTTCGAAGTGAGAGTGAAGCTAGCCTAAACTAATTGTGTTTTAACAAAATATAAATAAAATAGACATGACGTATAACGCACAATATAAACTATCTTTATTTAATCAAAGAAAGAAAAGAAGGTGAGGGTAGTTGCTTATCTATGTTTTATGGTCGCCTTTCTTCCCTAGAGATATATTTTCCCTAACCAAATCACTCAAGATTCGATACATTAATATTCAAATCTAGCATTTCTTACTTAACGCAAAATACCAGGTTCACTCATAGGGACTAGCGTATTCCCATGACTGGTGGTTTTCATTCAGACACAGTGGAGGCCGTAACTTCAAGATATCAGCTGACCTACCATTGGAGAACACTGCTTTCAATATCTTTGCACAACGTGCAGCATCAGAGCCATTCCACCTCTGGGTAGAACAGGTGTGACCTCGACATAATGACAAGGAACAGGGACAGCTAGAGTGACATCAACTTAACGAGACCACTAGTTATGTAAAAACTTCATAAATTTCGAATATATGAATATTTTCGCACAATCGTACATTAAAAAAATGCCTTGTATGTCTGCATAGCACAAATCTCCCATTTTTCATTTTAATTAGACCTAATTTTATGTGTACGAATGATTTTTATTCAATGTACCATTATAGTATAGATTATACGGCACTCAATTCTCGTGCTGATCGAACCCTGAATTCTAGTGGTGTGAGCTCCCAAGCTTACACTTGAACCTCCCATATTTTTTTTTCTTTATAATTGCAAAATGTTTTATTTTTAATAGGCTAGACATTTTCAAATTTTGCTGACTTTCACTTACTTCGCTTAGTAAACAACTTAGAACTCCACTTATCACTATACACTCCACACCCGACTTACACGATATCGGTATTATTACTCAGATAAGTATAGTACTGAAAACAACATAGAATAGACATGATAAACCCATGTACCACATAGCTAAAGTACTTAGGTGTGTTTACAGTAGAACAGTATTTTCAGTGTAACTTAGCTTTGTAGAACACGGTAGTTTCACACATTATCTGAAAAGTTGTTGTTTGTTTGTTTAGCTTAGCGCAAAGCTACTTAAAAGCTTTTTAATTTTGAAGTGAAAGAAAATAGGACCTTCAGCTAGTTAACACCACCCACTGCCATGAGCGGATCGAGAGATTCGGTAAAAGGGAGGAGAACGGTAGACAAAATTTACATATAATAATAATAATAACGTCTTAATGGCTTCAATGTAACATCTTATAAGAAATAAATTGAAGAAATATTTACAGCTAATATGTAAGATAAAGGTAAATCCGTACGAATTTTTCCTGGTTTTCATATTAATCTAATTTGCTTATAAAAGATACCACAGGTGGATGTTCTAACGTGGCTTGTTTTCGGGTATGGGAAGCTATTGAAGTAATTGGGAATAATATGGGAGCTTGATAGGTATCTTGGGGCCTTTTTGAATTATGGGTGAATATTTGAACCTGGGAATGGAACGCGGGTATTTATGCTAGTCTGATTAGTGGTACCAAAAGGTGATTTCAACTTCGCGCATTGAGTTACTTAAAAAATGCAAGCTATAAAAGTTACGCTAAAAACCTCATCAAACGTCTTTCTCCATTATAAGCCTTCAAGTTTACCGCTGAGCCACGAAGAATTATCATCACATATGTAATGACCCATAACATACACACCCACCCATACAGTCAGATGCTTTATGGTGTCGCTAAACGAAGTTTACGTTTGTTTTGGAACGTTAGAAATTGAAACTTTCAGCTTATTTTATCTTCAAAAAAGCTTGACCATTGTATGACAGTGGTCAGTGCCGTTATCCTTCGTTAATTCGCCAGTTCCAATGTCCAGCAGACAAGACTCTTTGAGTCACTGTTACGATGTACACATGTATTGGGAGCTGAACCATCTTGAAGTTAACTGTTCCTCTTCTAACTGGCTTGCTTGCAGTGCGAAAAGATTAACTGCTGACTTATATTTAACAGCTGATCATTACCTGTAACTTGTGTCCCTTAGTTCCTATTTCGTATAGTTCAAACGTTCTAATTTTTCTATTTCGTTGCTCGAGCTTGCAGCCAGCAGACGAATCACTTTTATATCCTGGCTATTGTATAGGATATTGTCGTGAGTAGTAGATATTACGTGTGTAAACTTTGTTAAAGTTACACACCAGTGTTTTATACCTAGTTTTAACAAGTTTGGTTGAATAGCCTGATATTCCCCAACGACAAAAATATAAGTTTAAAAAATCAGGTAGTACTAGTTTTAACCCGTTGTTTGACTATTAATCTATAAGTTAAGGTCTTATGGCAATATCGCATTATAACTTATTTAGGTTAGTATGGCCACGTTGCGTTGACGCACTTGAATTTCAATTATATGCTTTCTATGGTTTAATGACTCTTTATAAATAAAAATGTGTTTTTCATTTGTGAAACAGTTGCGCCAAAACCTGTACTAAATACCCTACATACCTATCCAAGCCCCTGAGAGGTGATTTATTGCAAGCTCTCTGGTGGTGATTCAAAGGGTAGAGGAATAATACAGTGTGAAATATTTTCACTTCTGCGTGACATCCTTCTACTGTAGCCGATTATGTAATTTTTCGATGTATTATTAAGAATATATTTTTTACTACATTGTAAAGTTAAGAAACTTTGCATACTTGTTTCATAACATTTACAGTAAAAAAATGATTGAAACAACGGATATCTTAACAATTATCAAGTTTCTAACACAACAGAAAAACATTCCGTATTTTAAAGACAAAGTAACAGCAAAAACGCTCTTCACCGCAATATAGCGAATATAAGAATCGAATACCGAGTACCCATTATTCTACGTTTCAAAACATTTTAAAACCAACTCAAAACATTAAAAAACAACATCGGTTTTCACAGAAAATTAAAAAGTTCTAAACTTAATCAGATATTTGTTAGCATTATGAATGAGTTAAACAAACTCAAGATTTCTTGATGTGCTGTTGTTGTCGTCTGTTTAATTAAACGATGCAGATCGTGAATAGATTCGCCCGTCTAAACATGGTGAAAATAATCAGAGAATCTTCCTAGATATATCTCACGGGCTTAACATGTGTCGTTACTTCGTTCCTTTTCATCAAGGCCTAACAGTTTGTTTGCGGCTTTCATTCCGACTTTCTTAACACGATCGGTTCTTCAGCACAACAATAAAACTTTTACAAAATAAGAAATATTGGCACATGCTTATGACGTCTTGGTTTAGACCAATAACTTATCCCGAAAACAAAACTAGAAGAAATGATAGACTGCAGCATCTGACGCTGACAGCGACATTAATTTTACATTCAATCAAGGCCTTTACTACCATGATTTTATGGTAACTGATTCTGATTGGACTAACAAGGCTTTTCAAGTTCAATTGATTTTACTTTAACCATTAAGAACTCAGTTTATTTGGAACAACACGGGCTGCTTTGCCTATTCTAGTTTTGAGAATAGCCACAAAATTTAAACAACTCTATTTTTCAGTAACTGACATTATTCGTGAATATCTGAAATTTGGATTTCTTTTCTATTGTTTTTTTTTCTAATTAAGTTTGATTGTTTGTTTAAGATATTCGATTAAAGCTACACAAAGGGCTAGCCGTTCACAATTTTGAACGATAGATAGAATGTAGCTAGTAAATAACACCCACCGCCAACTTTTGGGGTACTCTAATCAGATATTGAGATTTAACCATTATTCTTATAAGGCTCCCAGGGCCTCAATTTATGGGTGCCATTTTGCGGCAAGGTGACGTTAACCATAGACCCTCAGATTCACAGTGCGTTACGTTAACTACTAGGCCACGCCCGGCCCTTTTTTCACAGTCTTATATTGCTTTGCTTATTCATTTATTCGAATATTTTTCAATATAATTTGGAGCTGACCATGAGCTTATGTGAAAGAAAAATCAAACCGGTCTATTTAATTGTATTTGTTTTAGTTCACGTTGAAAAGTAGGCTAAATGGCTGTGTTGATCGTGAATTAGAAACCGGATTTATATTAAAAAGATTGATGTATTTCAGAGTTATAATTTTCAATTTGAACGGTGCATTATTAGCACGTATAATAAATAGACAGGTCAGCGACCCTACTTACCATAAGAAGGCAACCAGTTAGCAGCACCCGCCGCCACAAGGACTTTACTTGATCGGTTCTTAGAAAGGAAGAACAGTATTAAATGTAACTTTTATAACGCGCCAGTGTCCCCAAAACTGTCAATATTTGTATTTTTAACGCATTATGAAATTGTTGTTTTGGATCAATATTGTAATGAATTTTTCTTTGAATATATTGCTCTTTTTATATTTTCTATAAAACTAAA